TTAGAGTGCAATAAAAAATGACTTTTATGGGAATGCAACAATGTGACGCATGTCAGTCTGTCAGGACAATGAACTTCCTGTGCTTTCTAAAATGCACTTTAAGTGCCCTACATAGAAACACGCACATACGGCCACAGTAGCTGAGTGACATGAGTGCGTCTCTCTCTGTGAGCACAGCCCATCTGGAGGGTGCATAGCATGGCGGTTGGACAGGTTGCCAGGGAAACTCGGCATGGGGTGGGCTGGGGAAGATTGGCCCATTGTGATTGGCTGCCAAGCGTGGGTTATTTCTCAAGACTGAGAGAGACAAAAGGCATGTCCAAATCACAGAAGCAAACAACAGAGGCTGAAACAACAAAGCACTGCTCCAGGAAAGCCAGGACCACTTTCTTTCACTTCTATTCAACTCAGGAGTATGTTTCTGTTTATTGATTTTGCTAAGAACAGCCATTTTCTGTGCACCAAGTGCTCTTTGCTGAGCCACCATTTGCTTGGGAATGTATATGATGACTCTACTGTAAATTAAACAATAAAATCACATTACCTCAAATAACACGAAATGTCCATTGCCTGCAAACCATGAGGTTTTCTAGTAAGAATCCATTAGGTCGTTTTCAACCTGGCAAAACATACATGATAGTTTCTGGCACATAAAAAATTTATTTTCAATAGCAACAGATTCTAGTTCATCAAATGGACTCACCATAAAAAAAATAAAAATGAGCAGAGAACATAAGGGACTTAAGTATTCTCTGCTATTCCTTCTGTCCATGTCCTTCCTTTCTTTCTGTCTCTGTCTTATGACTCACTTATGACAATAAACTGATTTTTTGATTATATGATTTTGATGCTTCATTACATTGATGATTGAGACAGACAGATGTCCATATGAACAATGCCATCAGACTGATGTAATGCTTCACATGACCCTGCACTTTTGGGTCGGAGGGCTGTGTGATTTCCCCACCGGCTCTAAACGTCATGTTTAATGACTCAATGTACATACCGTGGGTCTGTCAGTGTCAAAACAGAACCATGGGGCGTCACACCTCTCATTGTAGCATTCATCATCTGACCTATAAGCATTTAGGAAACCAGTGCAAACAGCATACACTGGTGTTCAAAAGTTGTTCTGATTTTTTATTTTTATGCTTTTGAAGGAAGTCTCTTAATCTCACCAAGGCTGCATTTATTTATATATAATAAAAAAAAACAGTAATATTATGAAATATTAATACAATTTAGAATAACTGTTTTCTGTTTTAATATATTTTAAATAATAATTTATTCATGTGATGGCTAAGCTGAATTTTTAGCAGCCATTACTGCAGTCTTGAAATGATTTTAATATGCTAATTTGGAGCTGAAAAAATATTTCTTATTATTACCAATGTTAAAAACAGTGCAGCTTAATATTTTTGTGGAAGCCATGATGTGTTTTTTTTTCAGGATTCTTGAAAAAAAATTAATAGAAAGTTCAAAAGAACTTTGAAATTGTATAAATTTTTGAAATATATATATTTTGACATTATACATGTCTTTACTGCCACTATTGATTAGTTTAATGCATCCTTACTGAATCAAATCATTTATTTCTTTAAAAAATAATCATACTATCCCCAAATTTTGAACAGTAGTGTATATCTGTAAATGCATGCAATCATCCTAGAAGTCGCTCTTTGTAACTTTTTATGCATGCAAATCTGATTAAAAAAGTAAAAAATCTGAATTCCTGTAAATATTTACATATGTAAATCGTGACGTATGCTGACAAGCTAGCTGCTGAGCACTCTTTGAACTGCAACTAATTAGCTGTGGCTGTTTTCCCTCAATCTACGCTATTGTTTCCCTTTCAAACAGCTACAAATGCGATGTCCCACTCAATGTGAACAGCACATTGTGGATGCAAGATGCTAATGGTGGAGATCAATTATTCACCAGCTAATCTGTCTGAAGAGGCACTGGAATGTGGAATAGGCTCATCATGGACCCGCATTAATATTCAGTCAACAGGCCTCACTCTGCACTGCCTACATGTCATATCAGACCCAAGCCCTCCTCAAAGGAGCGATGTCTAAATGAGAGCTTTCAAGAGGCTGCTTCTGGAAATGGACAATGTCTGTGCACAGATTAGCTATTGTTAAATGCACAGTGACCATTTTGTAGCACAATGGACAATTGCTGCTCGGTTATGTTTAATAGTGATGTTAAAAAGTTGTACATTTTATGCAATGTCCGTTCAAAACAACACCAGTGTTGTAGGTGGTTGCCAGGGTGTTGCTATGCAATTGCTGAAGTCTCTATAATATCTGGTGCATAGATATTACTCAACTCCTTTCAATGTAAGTATATGGGAGAGTTTTGCTCATTTTATCATCCACAAGGTAAAAAATGTTGGTCCAAACTCTTATGATGCGATTTCAATTTTTCCTTTCTCTTTGAAGTGTTACAAGCTCTTGGTGCATAAAGAAGACCTGTAAAGTTGCAAAGACTAAAGTCTCAAATCCAAAGAGATATTCTTTATAAAAGTTAAGAGTCAACCACGCCTACCTAAAACGGCTCGTTATAACACGCCCCCACATGTCTACGTCACGATGTGGGAAGATTTGCATAACGCCGCCCAAATGTTCTCGCAAAGAAAGAAGGCGTAACTTTTGTTCTCGCTGTACTATTGTTGCTGCCGCCATGTCGTGAAGACGCTGTGTGTTTCGTTGCGCAACTCTCAAGCCCGGCGGGCGCCGCTCAATCTAACCCGCCGGCCTCCGCTCACTCTAGCCCGCCCGCTGGCGCTCACTCAAGCCTGCCGGCCGCGCCGTTCTCTAGCTTGCTGGCCGTTCCTCACTCTACACTCTTAAAAATAAAGGTGCTTCAAAAGGTTCTTCAAGCGATGCCATAGAAGAACCATTTTTGGTTCCA